CAAAGAAGTGTGTGGCTTTGACGGGGATGCAGATGGACGCGTCTTTGGTCGGATGTAATAAAGTGAATGAAGGTGTACTGACTATAGTCAGCAGGTGAATGAGAATAGGGCGAACGAAATTCGAAAGATTTGGGATGAGATCATGGATCTAGTCACTCAAGAATAGCCGGAGGCGCTTTTCGAATATGTGTGAGGGTCGTCCCCTCTAATCCGCTGGCGATAAGGTCCTTGCAATAACCGCAGACACGGAAGATGCCGTCATGATCGGCAAGCTTCCGGAGAGATGTTCGAAATTGCCGGGAGTGCCGGTAATTGGTGACGCCAGCAATGTTCTGAGGGTGGGAGTAGTGAAGGAGGATGGGCAACAGGTGTGCACGGAAAAGTGCATATACAAGTTCATCCTTGGAAAGGATGAGGATCCTACGGCAATGAAGTTCCTGTCGGCATGTAAGTTGCTGGGGGAGAAAATGGAAAAGTATGGGAGAACGAGTGATGGACTTGCCGCTCCGGCAGCTCTGGGAACTCAGGTATCCAGAAAGATTGCGAAGTGGGCGTTCAAAGAAAGTAGCTTAAACGTTGCAGTGTTTGGAAGTGATGAAGAGGCGAGAATGATCAAGCCCAAGGTACGAAATTGAGTGGTGATTGTAGAGAAGGCGAAGGATAAAACCAATGCCAAACTCCTACAGGAGCTCAGGACGAGCCCCTGTGATAGGAGTGATATTATCATCAAGAGAGTGCGAAAGACAAGAGAGCAAAGGGTAGTTCTCAAGCTGGAAGGCGGTAGTGAGGTGGTAGAAAAGGTCAGAGAAGTTGTCGCCTCGATGCCCTCCTGCGTTGCGAAAGTAACGACCAGGGGTGGTACAGCAAGGAGAAGACTTCTCTTGATAGGCACGACAGACAAAGACGTCACTGACGTAATCAAAAGTGGTGCTGGCAGCAAAGCATCATGCGATGTGTAGGACTCAGGCCTTCACGGAATGGCTTAACACATAAACACGTAAGGGAGAAAGTGCCATCCTGCGATGATATAGATATAAAGCTTATGAACATACCATTAATGAATGCAAGGAAGAAAATCGCAAGTGATACTGGAGATGAGGCCAAGAATAGCACATTCCCAAGGATTACACGGCCTAGATAAACTGCAATGTAAAGGGTTATTTGAGTCGGTCGAGAGACTGTACTAAATTCAGAGACCTGGTCTACGAAGCCAGACGTTGCTTCGAAAGTCGGAACTAAAGAGGTGCGTATCCTCCTCTCGACATGGCAACGAATTGTGGTGCTGACCTGAGGGTTTCGCAGAGTAATGTGGCAGGGCGAGACTGCCACACGATCTCGCCCTGGCTTTCGCATTTGGGGAGAGATATGATCTATTCAATGGAGATACTGAATCTGATCTGTTGCAATATTTCACCGAATATAGTGGTGAGTACGAGAATAGGTTAAACGCAATTATGGAAGAGGTGAGGCGACTGGGTAACGAGTGCGTGGTGCTCGGCGACTTCAACTCGGCGATTTCAGATGGTACACCGACGTCGCCCTCGCTACGCAGGAAGCTGACGTGATGTGACATTAAACTGTGAATATGGGGAGAGTGTAACTCCCTTCGCATTCGCGGACGACTTCGCTATGTTGGTGGCGACACGGGACAGGGAGGAATTCTTGCTTCGAATTACGCGTCTGTGTGTCCTTGTTGAGGATTTGATGAGCGAGCAGGATCTTCCTCTCGCAAAGGAGGCTGTTGTACTCAGAGGCTACAAAAAGAGAGAAAGCTCACCTGTATTTGAGTACGCGGAGCGAGAGTGACACCCACAAAGTAGGTCCAATATATGGGAGTTACTCTCCACCAGGGTACGAGTTGGGAGGAACATTTGAGGTGAGTGACCCGTAAAGCTATTCAGAGAATGGCTGCGCTGGGGAGGATAATGAACAATATCTATGGGCATACTTTTGTTTCATTTATGCTTATTTTATGTGCTATGTTTATGACAACCTGCACTAATAATGGCATCTTCTCTATTCTTTCGATGGCATTATGATGTTCTTCTCGTCTCGGCTGTATTCTTCGATTGGCCTGTCCGATTTGTTGCAGTCCTCACAAGGGATTTTGTATACTCTTTGATTTTCCAGTGCAATTTTTGTTTTTGCGGATGGCAATATGGTCGAAATTTTCCTGTTGGTTAAATATAGTCTTTATTTTGTTTTTCTTTACAAATCTCTCGGATTTTGTCTGCCGTGCCCTTTATGTAGGAAAGGATAGCTTTTCCAATTAGTTTTACTTCTTTTTGCACAGTAACTATATTAAAAGCACTATCAGAATGCAGAATAGACAACAGATATGCGAATATTTATGAAAATGTATATAATTATATTTTGTAAATGAAAATTTAACTGTAAATTCTCATTGTATGATTAAGGAGATAAAAATTTGCAAAGGGGTATGGCAAATATCCCAAAATTATATGGGAGCCATAGTTCAAATTTATGGCCAACAGTCAGAAGTACTGAAGATCTATAGAGAAGTTAGACAGTGATGCGATTTATCGCCACTTTTGTTTAACTTATATTCTGAAGAAAATTTTCAAAACCACGCTTAATAATATCAAAGCGTGAGTTACTGTTAACGTAAAATTAATTAACAACTTACGATATGCAGATGATACTGTGATCAATGCGACGACTATAGAAGATCTACAACATAATAATCGAAAGTAAAGGTATGAATAGTGCTGAGATGGGAATTACTTCTTCTTTATGTGCCGTCTTCTACCGAAGGTTGGCGACCATCATACGATAGGTTTCTCTGTTTTGTGCCGCATGAATTATGTTCGCAGCTTCTGGTATTTGAAACCATTCTCTCAAGTTTCTCAGCCAGGATTTCTTCTTTCTGCCCAAACCTCTTCTACCTTCAATCTTGCCTTCCACGATAAGCTGTAGCAGACTGTACTTATCATTACGGAACACATGGCCCAGGTATGACGCTTTCCTCCTTTTAACAGTTGTTAACAATTCCACCTCTTTACCCATTCGTCTTAATACCTCTGTGTTGGTCACTCTGTCTGTCCAAGGTATTCTCAGTATGCGTCGATACAGCCACATTTCTAGAGCCGCTAACTTCTTTATAGTTGCTGCTGTTAACGTCCACCCTTCTACGCCGTAAAGTAGCGTAGAGAGTACGTAGCATTTCGTGGCGCGCCATCGGAGGTTAATGCTTAGGTTGCGGTTGCTTAAAAGCTTTCTCATTTTGATGAATTTGGACCTTGCTATTTCAATTCGGATCTTAATCTCTACTTCTGGGTCCCACTTGTCATTTACTGTATATCCCAGATATTTAAATCGGTGTACTCTTTCAATACGTTCGTCTTCAATATGCAGGTCGATATGTTGAAATTTTTTTTTACTGATCACCATAAATTTAGTTTTCTTTCTATTGATCTTCAGTCCAAATCGGCTGCCAGTTGTATTAACTCTATGTAGCATCCTCTGTAAATCTTCGATGTTATCGGCCAGTATAATAGTATCATCTGCATATCGAAAATTACTTATTGGTACGCCATTAATCTTGATGCCCTCATTGTACTCTTCTAGTGCCTCTAGAAATATTTGTTCCGTGTACAGGTTGAAAAGCAGTGGCGAAAGAATACAGCCCTGTCTTACCCCTCTAGAAATGGTTATGTTTTCACTCACCATATGTCCATTCTTCATGTGGGCTGTTTGATTCCAATATAGATTTTTTATAATCTGGATGTCCTTAGTGTTAAGTCCTGAAAGACGTAATAGTTCTATGAGTTTGTCATGTTTGATAGTATCGAATGCTTTCTCATAGTCGATAAAACAGACGTAAACATCTTTCTGTTGATCCAGGCATTTTTGAATCAAAACTTGTATTGCAAAGAGGGGTTCTCGAGTTCCAAAACCGCATCTAAAACCGAACTGTGTTTTACTTATGCTGTGTTCTAATTTTGCTCGTATTCTGGAATGGATAATACGCAAAAATACTTTAAGGGTGTGGCTCATTAAACTTATAAGGCGATATTCACTACACGTCTTAGAATTATATTTCTTGGGAAGGGGCACAAATGTAGATTTCAACCAGTCCGATGGAATTTGACCAGTATCGTATATCTTATTAAACAGTTCCAATACTACATTAGGTTGTTCTCGTTAAAAACTTTTACGTTTATAGTAATTCCAAAACTTCGTTTTGGAATTACTATAAACGTAAAAAAATGAAATATATGCTAATTACAAGACTACAAAATATACACCACATATTGACAATTATAATAACGTGGTAGAAAATCTAGAAAAATATCAATACTTGGAAACTTTGAACTCAAATAGAGATAGTCATGTCACTCCTAACGTGTAGAAATCCTAATTTGGAAATCAGACTACGTACCATTCGATGTCACATATTTTCAATATTATTATATGGAGCTGATGAACTAATCACCTCTATAAAACAAGAAAACTGTAATATCTAGGCCAAGTGATGAAGGGACCAAAATATAAAATTTTGAGATTCATAAAAGTAACTAATTCGAAAATTAAAATAGCCATTATAATTTCCAATTACCATGGTTGGAATTATTCGTGCTTAATCTGTAGGGCAGCCTCAAGTGTATTTCCGAGAAGACTGTCTGAGCTGATACTAGGGATAGCACTCATTCAATAGCCCTCGTTGTACAGAGTTTATGCTGCAAGATTTGCTTCTATGCTGCATCTCTTCGATACGATGATGTTAGATAAGGAGAGCAGTAGTGTTAGATCAAATTTCACCATTTCATGTGTCAGTTTGTCAGGAAATATAGTAATTATTATAAAAATGTCACAAGAAAATAATTTCATAATTTTATCATTAAAATTGGAGATTGTTCTTTACTTTATTGCTAGTTAGCTTCGTGGTTTTATTATCAAAATAAATTTAATACGAAGCAAAATTTACGAAATCTAAAATTTAGTTTTTATAAAAACAAATAAAATGGAAAAACAAGGTCCATTTAAAACTTTATTTATTTATGTATTTAGTTGCTAATTCACAAAATTACTTTTTTTTTCTTTTTTTGAAATTATTTTTTTTTATCTACATTTATCATTTCGTAAACATTATTTTGTTCTTTGTTCTTTTTTGTATTGATTTTTGATTCACTTTTAACTGCTACAAGCCGATCATTTATGACAATACCTCGTTCTAGAGCAACTTCTGCTTGTTTGAACTTTTTACTCTTTTTATTGTTTGAAATAATTGATTTTTGATCAATACGTTCTTGTGTTAGATTTTCTAATCTTTCAAACGATTTAGTCGTCTTATTTTTCAATTTTTTTAATTGTATACTTTCCAAATTATCATGACCTGCTACCGAAGATATCTCGCTTTTTGTTAACCCCTTTTTTCTTTTTATTTTCTGATTGTCTCCATTTTGTAATATACCTATCTTCTCATATTTCTCTGATTCTTCATCATACTTCCGTATCTTCCTGTCACTTGCAGTGTTATCTAGTATATATATTTTTTCGGTTAAAGCATCACCTGTATAATTTTTCTTCTTTTTTTGTTTATATTTCGGAATAACTTCATTCTGATTGGGATTTTTTGAATCATTACATTTATCGTTTTGTTCGCAATCTTCATTTATATAAACATTTTGTATGTTCTTCTTTTCATTTTTATCTTGTGTTTGATGAACGTCGTTTTTACTAAATTCTTTATCGATTAAATTCTGTTTATATTTTCTTTGTTTCTTTAACTTCCATTTTTCGTTTTCTTGGACATGCTTTTTAAAATTAAAGATTCTAGTATTGAAAAATTGATTTTCTTCAGCTTCCTGTAATCTCTCAAAGATCGCTACGAAAAATCCATTAGTATAATCAGAATGAGGTTTTGCATACAGACAGAACTTTCCTATATCTCCATAATCGGATGAACCGAAACTATGCCATGTTTCACCAACAAATTGACTAGCTGAAATTAACTTAAAATTGTAATTTGTTTCCAATACTTGGCGCACAACATCTTCGTTTTCTTCAGACATTATTGAACATGTAGAATAAACAACTCTTTTGGCACTTGGAAATTTAGTAAGGGCATGTCGAAGAATTTTTATTTGAAATCCAGTCAGGCTTGACAACCTCGAGGGCGTGATTTCGTTTTCCTGAGGACGATCTGCCATTCCTAAAATAAAAAAAAAACGTTACAGTTACATTGACTGAATATATGAATATACATATGATGAAAGAAAACAAGGAAGGAATAATATATGATTATGGAATACATACCTAGATAGAATAGAACCTAGCAAACATAAGATGAGAACAGTTAAAATCAAGGATATAATTATTACAAAAGTAATTCAGTCACATGTAGTGGTGTAATTCTATATGAATAATTCAGTAAACAACACTAGTACTAGTAATAGTGAAAAAGGAAAAGGGGGAGAGGGTGAAAGGAGATCCTTTCCAGAGAGAAGAAACCTGAAATAGAATAGTTTGTAATTGTGTAATTTGTAGTGGTGTGGTGTTCACTGTTCTTATTTCATATTGTTCTGTTTATTCTTATAATTTTTCTTTTAATAAATTTTACTTTTTCTTCATCTTTTTTCGTAAGACACATTACTTCCGCTCTTTATGCTATGATCGGTCTAATTGCTGAGCTATATATTTGCGTAGGTGTTTAGTGCCTTAAACAAATTTTTACTGTTAAGGTGTGAACGAAGCAGCTGTTTTACCCTTCGTATAAACTCAGCAGTTATCTCAGTTTTCATTTGCTTATGGTCAATCTTCCGCGCTTGCTTTATTCCGAGGTATTTATACATATCATTTTCACACATGGCCTCGATGTTCTGGCCGTTTTGCATATCGAATCGGCCGGGCTGAACCTTTCCTTTGATTATATTTAAGACACGGCACTTGTCAAGACTGAAGTGCATACTAATATCATTTGAGAAATTTTCTACAGTTTTTAGCATCTCATCTAAGTGGTTTCGAGTGGAAGCCATTAATTTCAAATCATCCATATACAACAAATTATTAAGCTTTGCCAAAACAGTATTATTATTTTTTGATACTAAAACCTGAGTCAGTCGAGCTCAGTAGCTGAGATAGTGGGTTCATGGCTAAACAGAACCAGAGATGACTCAACTAGTCCCCCTGGAAAAGAACCCGGTTAATTGGAATATTTTCAGTTTCGATATTGTTTTCACCAGGTATTTGGAGGTGAATTTTTGTCTTCCAATCTGATATTATATGTTTGAAAAAGGTTATCATCGACTTTATATATTTTAAATATATCTATAAGCCATTCATGCGGCACTAAATCAAACGCTTTCTTGTAGTCGATGAAAGCAGTAAAGAGATTCCGTTTTTTGCTATACGCTTGGTTAGAAATAACGAAATAACAAGTCGATGATAAGTTGTTCTTTGCAGCCCATGGAACCCTTAGGCACCCTTTCTGTTGTGGTTCTATGATATTGTTTAGAGCACAGTTGGTTGATACGCCGGGCTACACAGGATGTGATCAATTTATTTGGGTGTTATTTTGATCTTTGGGAATTAAATAAGTGGTTCCCTTTGTTAGGAAAGATGGTATTTCCTGCGGATTAGAAATAGTGTGATTAATTATTGCTGATAAGCCCTCATGAATACTCCAGAACTTCTTAAGCCAGAAGTTCTGAACGCCATCTGGTCCAGATTTCCAGTTATGAAGCTCTTTGATAATATTTGAAACTTCTTCAGTAGTGAAGGCACCGTAAGGAGCAGTAACGTAGTGTTGGCAGTTGGGCGCCGTATCTTCGATCCATCCAGAATTGGTGTTAAAAGCAGTTAGTGTGGAAAGTTGATTTCCCCAAAACTCATGGATTTCTTCTCGGTTTGGGTAATATTTATTGGAACTTTCTGTAGAATTGAGTTTCCGATAGAAAGCCTTCACGGCATTTTCAAAAAGCATATTGTCGGATTTTCGTTTATTACTAATTTGTATCTCCTTAATCGGCCTGAGTAAACAAAATGTTTTTGTTTTAATGTATCCAGATAGTGTTGTGCTGTGTTGTTTTGTGGATTATATTGTGAGTGTCTTGCGGTGGTTAGCATTATTTCTCCAGCTCTTCTGATTACTTTTCTACTTGTTCCTACGTAATGATTCAATTTCCGTAAGCAGCCGTTTTTCCCAAGGTGCTACTCTGTTATCTGTTCTTCCGATATTAGTACCCCGTCGTGTTCTGGCCTTAATGCCCATAACATTAGCAATTGCTGTTGCTGCACAGTAAATCAGCGTGTGCATATATTCCAATGTATGGGCAGTCTATTTCATATGGCTCACACTCCCTCTAATTGGAAAATTCACTCATCCCAGATACATACGGTATCAAAAGGATTTAAGATTTATTATTATTAAAGGATTTATTATTATTATTATCCAGATTTAGCCATACGGCTCACACTCCCTCTAAGAGGAAAATTCGCTCATCCCAGATACCTACGGTATTAAAAGGATTGAGCTCTGGTGGGAGTCTTTCCATGTTATCGAGTCCTGGGTGACTTGGTACGTCGGTGTATCTCACAAAAATTTTCGCACGCATCTGGACGTCGAAAGTAGCACAGCTTTCTGCATGATCTTATATAGAATTTCATTTAGACCTATCTTCTTTATGTTTTCTAGGAGGATCTTTGGGATGACTCCAGTGGTAGAAAGAATAATAGATATGGTCTGGGTACTTTCCATTTTCCAGTGTCTTCTTATTTGTATTTCCAGATCTCTGTACTTGGCGATTTTTTCCTTGTACTTAACATGCAGATTATTGTTGTTAGATATCGCCACATCGATTAGTGTTGTTTGTCTCGTTAGTTTATTAACTGGAGCGAGATTTTGCGTGTCATCCTTGCGCAGGGGACATGCTAATCCATTATTATTATATAATGATATCGAGATAAATATTGTCGAATTCTACCAAAACTGTACTGACGGCCTAGAAATTATGAAATGCGAAGTAGAACATGCTATAAATAATGCTATAATTAGAAAAGCTTATGGTCCAGATGATACACCAACTGAGTTGCTGAAACTAATAGAGAATGATAACATAAAAGTAGTAGTAAGACTTTTTAATTCAATATATAACACCGGAGTGATTCCCGCATATTGGCTCAAATCCATCTTTATCGCAATACCTAAAAAACACAATGCGAGAAAATGCTCAGAATATCGATTAATTAGCCTAATGAGCCACACTCTTAAAATTTTCATCAGAATACTTCACAACAGAATTAGACGCAAATGCGAAGATCTTGAAGATACCCAATTTGGTTTTAGAAATGCTATAGGAACCAGGGAAGCACTTTTTGCGCTAAACATTATATTACAAAAATGCCGTGACCAAAGAAAAGATGTATTTGCATGTTTCGTGGACTTCGAAAAGGCATTCGAAAAAGTACAGCATGTAAAATTAATGCAAATACTGAAAAATATCGGAATAGATGACAAGGATATTCGTGTCATTAAAAATTTGTACTGGAATCAAACTGCTATCGTAAAAATTGGAGATAACTACACCGATGAAATTCCCATACAACGAGGAGTCAGACAAGGTTGCATTTTGTCGCCAACATTGTTCAATGTTTACTCGGACCAGCTATTTAAAAAGGCACTTGAGAGACAACCATATGGAATAAAAATCAACTTAATGTGATCAGATATGCAGACGATACAGTAATTCTATCAGATAATATTGAAAGTCTTCAAATTCTGCTTGATCGTATTCACGAGGTAGGAGAGGAAATGGGCATTAAAATAAACTCAAACAAAACCAAATTTTTAGTGTTTAGTCGTGACCCACATCCCGATGCAAAGCTTCAATTGAACGGAGTCCAAGTTGAGAAAGTTCACAAAATGACAGATTTGGGAACTGTGATAACGGACCAACTAGATCCAGACATAGAAATAAAACGTAGAATAGCAATGACTAAAATTACTTTTATGAAAACGAAGTCATTTCTTTGCAATAACCATCTCAGTTTAGAACTAAGGCAAATAATGGTTAAGTGTTATGTTTGGTCTGTACTTCTATAGTGCAGAAGTGTGGACGCTAAAAGTATTGATCATGAACAAAATTGAAGCATTGGAAATGTGAGTTGATAGACGAATGCTGAAGATACCTTGGACAGCAAGAAAAACTAATGAAAAAGTACTAAGGAGCGTCAACAAAGACAGAGAACTGCTAAAGACTGTTAAATATCGAAAAATCTTTTATCTGGGACATATAGTAAGGGGAAGTCGATATAAAATTTAACAACTGATCCTTAAAGGCAAAATAGAGGGCCGTAGAGGTGTAGGAAAAAAATAAGTTTCTTGGTTAAAAAACATTCGTGAATGGACTCAGATATCAAATGCAAGACAATTATTCCATATTGCAGAAGATCGAGAAGCCTTCGCAATGGTGATCGCCAACGTCGGATAGTTCTGATATGGCACGCGAAGAAGAAGATCGAGCTAAAGCAGAGCTTATGTGGAAAAAATTACAAAATATTTGTATGTACTAAACTAAATAATATGATATAAATAAAATTTTCTCACAAAGTAAAAATAATTTTCAAAAGAATTAATACTTAAGTACAAAAAGTTCTGACAATAATAGCAAATTACAAAAATACAAATATTACAAAGTATACATAAGTTTTCAGAAGAAAAAAAAAATACAAACAACATAGTTAACATAAGTCAAGGTACAATATTTTGTTCGTTTTCATCATAGTTGTTTTTGAAACTATTTAAACTAGTAGCTTCTAGAATTTTGCTTTGCAGTGGTTTTAAAAGACTCCTTTTGCAATTTGTAGTTATAAGCTCTTAGTCTAGCATCTTCGTTAATATTAAAAAGGTTAGATGTTCCCCAAAAATCCCCCCTAAGAATTCTATAAGTAGATATGACATCATATCTTTCTCGTCTAAGAGTTACTGAAGACAACTTGAGCTTTCTTAGTCGGGTTTCATAGTCTAATCTTCCATAATTAAAAGGTAGCTTAGTAGCTCTTCGTTGTACTCCTAATAAATTAATGTCTCTTTGCAAATGAGTACTACTAATGAGAACTACTTTTGGTGTTTGAGTAGACCAACTTATTGTTTGGTTGACCGTAACACTAACATTATTAACTTCCATATCGATTTCAGAGGAACTCCATCTCAAA